CATCAATCCACATCGATTCCTGCCAGCTATGTCTTAAAGAGCAGGACCGACCGTGTTCTCTTACCAGTTTAAAAGGACAACGCTGAATTTCTATCTATGAAAAAGGCAATGGGAAACTAGACCAACGTCTTTCCCAAAAAGTCATGGCAATTCGCAGAAAAGCAACTAACAATAAAAAAATAAACCAACAGATTTATAATCGCCCACCACAACACTCTGCTTAGCAAGCTTAACTTGCAGATCATGTGGCTAGTGTAATAATTTCGATCCTCGCTGGGTGCATAGTTACTCCCAGACGATGATAAACTTTGTAAATAACCTGAAAATATTACTTTAACCTGAAGGATGCCAAGGCTACTTTGCGGGCCATTTCGATAATATAGTCTGTTGTTCTTACTTGGTTCTGTATTAAATGTTATAAATAAGTATAAAAATAAATTAAATCAAAGTCTATCTTGTGTATGAGATGTTTGTAGATTTCCCCATTGTCGCCAAGGGTTAATGTTAGAGCCCAAATAAAAACTAGGGGGCTCATTTTTAAACCATGCAAGACCTAACCATTATGAAGATTGGCTTAAAACAATCTTCATAATTTCTGCAACAGTTGTGTATTTCTCAGTGGTTGTCGTTCAATTAAAAGTAAGGATTTCGAAAGCTGCTTTTCAAGACGAGGTACGTTCTGCACGCATGTGAAGACAACTGTTGGCGAGAATGCTTCAGTTGCTGATTATCTCCCGAGGAAGACAGATGTGAGGCCAGCGGCGGCCAGGGCAACGAACGAAAGCCATTCACCCTAAATAAGGTACAGCAATGATATCACCCGTGTCATTCTAAGACTTTCTTTATTTTCGGGCTTTCACATACGGCTTGCTTTTTCTATGCGAGCAATAATTTCTCTGCATAGAGAAAATTGTGTTTTTTATATATGATTGGCCCTGATCTGGCATCTCGTCTACAGTTACTCTCCCACAGACGCGCCGTCGCCTCCCTCTGTCTTTTCTACAAATACTTTCATGGTAATTGCTTCGATGAGCTGCTTTCACTGGTTCCCAGACTCCATGAATTCAAGCGCCCTATGAGGCTGGCATCCCGCTCCCAACCTTACACTGTAGAAACTTTTAAATGTAGCCATCTCTTCTACTCCAATAGCTTCATACCTCGCACCTCTCGCCTGTGGAACACCATTCCTAATTACTGTTTCCCTGAGAGCTACAATCTCCAAATTCAAATATAATGTCAATCGACATCTCCAGTTACCTTGATCTACCCACTACCCCTCTCCTCATCCTTTCTTCTATCACTCCTCTTGCTCCAAATCTTCTGCAACCCCCTTCATCCTAGTGGCTTCACGCCTTGCTCGGGGCGTAATGCTTATATATATATATAAATGAATATAGAAGTCAACACTTCATGCTAGATGCAATCGTCAGGCCACTCCAAGTGTTGACTTGTATGTTCACTTTTATATTTACACACGCTCTATCTTTGATATTGTGTACTTTATCCCATAAATATAGCACATCTTAAGACTATATTTCTTTTATATATATATATATATATATATATATATATATATATATATATATACAATTTTTGAAAGATTATTTTTAATAAATACTCATAATTGAGTAGATGCTCTGTTTTAATTTTTTAAACAGCATATTTATTTAGTCAATGCCACTTTTGGGGATCAAAGATTTTAAATTCGCTTTGCACGGCAGAGGGTCCAAGAGAGCAAATGCATGATTGAAATAATGAAATTTTGTCATTAAGAAGGCCGATGAGAATAGCGGCCGAAGCATTCTGATGGAGATGACAAAGACAAGAAAATTAGTCCCAAAGAATCATTGTATAAGAGTAACTAAGCTTCGTGTCTGAAATTCAGAGAGAATGAAACTCAGAAGATTCGGCAGTCGGAAGATTGTGATAAAAACAAGAAAATTGTTCCCTTGTTTCAGATAATCCCAAAGAGTGAAGGTCAGAATGATACAACAGTCAAAAAGGATAACGATAACAAAAATAAATAATTTAAAAATAATTATTTTATCACAATTCCGTGTACTTTTTGAATCGGTTGAAAAAAAAAATGGAGAAATTATTAGTAAGTAGAATTTCCATTAATTTTTCAAATAGATGTTTCTCGGAGTTGATCAGGTTTCTAGTTTATTTGAATTAAAGAATTTACGAAGAGAAAGAAATAATTTTGTGTCTAATTGTTTTGTTTTATATTATTTCTGGGAGATTAAATAAAATCCAAAATAAATTACATATAAATCTATAAAATACTGGAAAATTGTTGTCTTTGAGTTTATTTTATTTGTTTTCCTTATTTTCAAAGACAAAAATATCATTTTGACCACGAACAACTGAAGGAATATATATATATGCCATGGAATTTTGAAAAGATTAATTTACCTCTTTTAAAAATTCCATAGCAAAAATATTCCCTCAGGTTCAAATTTCAAGATTTCATTTAATAATAGGTAATATAAAACAAAGCAATTAGACACAAAGTTCTTTCTTTCTCTTTGTAAATTAACTCAAATAAACTAAAAATCTAGTCAACTCCAAGAAACATCTATTTGAAAAATTAATGGAAATTCTTTACTTGTTTCTCATTTTAAATGCGCAAAAACAATTTCCTCATTTTTTTTCAATGATAAAAGACACTTCAAATGACACATAATAAATTTCTTTTTTTTTTTTTAACTATTATCTGTTTCTTAAATTCCTTAACCATTGAAAAATTTAGTTATAAAACTGATAAGCCTTTATTCCTTTTTTAAAAATTTATTGCTTTAATGAGTTTCTTTTTTTTAAAAAAAAATTATTTATAAAAATAAAAATAAAAATATTTTTCAATGTGACGGACGCGCGTCAGTACAGACGCAAAAAATGCCCCAGACAGGATGTGCACATATCTGTCAAAACCAGTTACATCTGGGTTAGCAGCAGACCAGCTTGGCATGTTCAGATACGTGCCTCTCTGCATCTTGTCTAGATCCGGGTTTCTACCGTCTCTTGTCAATAAAAACGACGAGAAAACCAACAGTCAGAAAGACACGGTATTTTGTGAAGTCAGTTCCTGTGTTCCTAAAGTTGCTGTGTCCTCTGAGGCTGTGTCATTTTGTTACCTCTCGTTTTATTTCCTTTCACTGCCTATTACCCCCGTAGCGGTTCGGGGAGCTATCGTTTAGGTGTTTCTCCTAGACTCAATACACCTTTGACACAGTTTACAATATTTCGTCAGATTACTACCGTCAGATTATTAAATGTAAAAAAAAAAAAAAATTATTTAAAAAATTTTGTTTACAGTTTTCATTATTGAATGTCACGCGATGACACATCGCTTAGAAAACTTGCAAGAATAAAGACAACACGAAACAGCAACCGAAAAATCAAGATCAAGATAACAAAGGTGAGTAAACTGGCACCAGGAAATCGTAAATAAGTCTCCTGTCATAAATTTAAAAAGAAAAATGCCAGTACATGAAAAGGCCGAAACATTGTGACATAATCAAGACATACGAGAAAATCTATTGCAAAAAAATAAATGCATAACAGCAACAACGCCTCATTTAAGAAATTTGGAGAGAAAAAAGGTTAGAAAATATAGCGATAAAAACAACAATAATAAGGAAATTGATCCTCGTTTAGAAAATTAAAAGAATGAAGGTGATACACTAGCCGAAACATTGTGATTGTTGAGGATACCATATATGTAGGTGGCCTTAATTGTACCTGTTGTAGGTACAGATAGTTATTCAAACAATAAAAACAAAACAAAAAATAAAAAATAAAAATGTTTAGGGAGAACTCAGAAGAACTTAATTGAAAGCTTACTTGACAGTAAGAGAACATGCTAACAAAATGTATGATTTTGTTATATGATGCCTTCTCTCAGACCCTGAAAAAGAAAAGCTAGCGAATATTATGAAAGTCTGTCCTTTACATAATTTCAGCACGCATGTTGACCGTCTTCTTTTTTCAGGTGTAAGGGAAAAATCTTCACTTCACGGCGTCGACCTCAAAACTCGCTCTCTGTATAGACTAGGCTTCAGCCTGATTGGCCGTTAAAGGTCATATGACCTACCAAGCGCGGTGCATGCTAATAATGGGGAAGGCAAGATAAAGACAACAAGGATTACGAAATTGCTTTCAAAGAAACAGTTTATCATAGTAGCAAGACTTCGTTTCATAAATTAAAAAAATTAAGGCCAGAAGAGGCACTGGTTTTAAATATTTATAAAGGTAACAATAGGGGTAGATATGCTCGCCTATCGTCCGGTTCACACTCCTCTCCGAATTTTTTGGACAGGAATAGATATTTATCCCTTGTTTTCTATTCAGAACTGGATTTCCGGTCTCTTCTAAAGTCTACTTCAAGTCTATACTTCTGACGTCTGCGTCCAAAATCTGAAATCTTATTTACTAATTATTTTTTTCTCCTCAATAGGAGTAGATACGTTCTCCTATCGTCCGGTTCACACTCCTTGTCAATCTTTTGAACAGGAGTAGAATTGTATTTCTTGTTTTCTGTTTAGGATTGGGTTTCCGGTTCCTTCTAAAGTTTTTTTTTTAATTCTCTTTCCCTCTCAGTTACCTTGCGTCTTAGTGGCATTATCGCTTTGCTTGCGATGAATTGATTTTTTAAAACATCTTGCAAATAAACATTGTATAATAATAACAATACTGCTCTTAAGAAAATAAGAGAGAATGAATAGTAGATAGTATAACAGACAAAGAATTGTATTAAAAACAGATAAGAATAAGAAATTGGTTCGAAAGAATCATTTTATAATATGACGGAAACTCATTGCGTGTTCGCGGCCTCACGTTTTCAACTGACGGGAATTGGAACTAGGTCTGCTGCTGTAAAAGTTGGTTCCATCACCAGAATCAATCCTGTACCTTTATAAGCCTACCATTCGTCCTTGGACAAAATATTGCCGCCACATCTGGTCTGGTGCTTCAGGAATATATCTAGAGATTCTTCAGGCTTACGGCCACATCACGTTGAAACGCCGGTTCTGGTACGGTCTCCGAAGTTAAACAACGTCGAACCTGGTCAGTATTTAGATGGGTAACCGTTTGGAAATACCTGGTGCTTGTTTGGATATGCAGGGGGTGTATTAGATAATGTCTTGGAAGTGGAAATCGGAAAGCAGTGGTCCAATACCAGTCCCTGTTCGTTAAAATCATGCGCAAATACTTTTAAGTAATGTGTAAACTCACCTCTTCTCTCCTCGGGTATGGGTTAATTAGTAAGACGTGTATAAGTAAACAATTATTATCTCCAAAAGATTTCTTACAGTCTAAAAATGTTTTTCTGGCTTTAAATAACCTGTTGATAAGCCGTAGAAAACGAATCAATCAATCAACTAGAGGTTTTGATAAAATCCAAAGAATCTGCAATGTTATCGATCCTTACCTGGCACCTCGCCTTTAACCACTTTCTCACAGCCATAATGTAGCTTTCCTGCGCTTTTTCTTTTCTACCAGTTTCTAATTAAGTAGATGTGTCAAGAAGAGTGTCAAGGTTATTTGTGCCATTTTTATCTTTTCTTTCATGACATGCGTCTATTACTAAATTCATGTAAATATCCTAAAAAAAAAAATACTGAGCAGTCCTGTAGTAATGGAAAGTGACATTACAGATAAACAGAGAGAGAAAGAAGGACTAAAAGAAAAAGGGAGATATAGAGAGCGCGGAATTATAGAAAGATGGTGAAAGAAAGAGAGTAAAAAGTGAGCGATATCCACTCACTTTTTTCTCTCTGTCTTTCACCATCTTTTAAGAGATTAAACAAACAGATGTGTTTTTTTCTACGGTTCCGGTGCTTTCATTTATGCATATGTTTGCATAACTGCTATCAGGTACGACGGAAGAGCTGACAAATGCTCAGATGAGGAGATGTCAGTACGTATTTCATCGATGCCAACGTCACCTGCGCAAAGAAATGAAGTTTGAAAGAACAACAACAAAATGTCGTTAACAAGATGTCGTTAACAGGATGCTTTCAAAAGATGACGACGTTACGATCTTTAAACGCTTCATCAATATTTAGAATGGCATGAGCCCCACCCACAACATAAAAAAGAAACTACGGTCAGTCAGATTATAGTGTGACGGAAATATGGGACCGGGTGTCGCATGACACGCATTTAAACTTTGAAAATTGCAGTTATGAGGAAACGATTGACGCATACAAACGAACCATATAAACAGTGTCAGATATTTAGATCACCTTCTACAAAAGAAAAGATGCACACCTGACAGACACATGCCAAGCCATTGAACCTGCTTGAGAGTGTGAAGATGGCTGCATATTTCTCACCAAATGGATGGAGATATGGGTGGTCTAATGGTTATTATGAAGGAGAATGGAATCGCTATTTACACGGTAAATATTTTGACGAACTACATTTCTTAGTTCCACCAGTTCAGACCTTTACAGCTAAAACCGGCCATGCCATGTACACGGGGACGAATCATCTCTATTCCCTCCGTATTCCATTAGTAAGGAGGAAGTTTCATTCGGACAGCTTCTTCCTAAGAACCGCTACTTTGTGAAGCAGACTCCCATGAGGAAAAAAGAAAAGCGAGAAGAAAGGACTACCCCTCAATTTTGAGAAAACAGAATGTATAGTTGTCAGCACGAGGAACAGAGACACAGAGGAAGGAAACTACAGAAACTCCTATAGAATGTAGTAAAGGAAAGCGAGAAGAAAGGACTACCGCTAAATTGTGAGAAGATGGAATGTATGGAGATACCAAAATCAAGGAAAGTACGAAAATTTAAATACCTGCGAAGTGTTTTAACAGCGAACCGAAAAGGTGACACCGAAATCCAAAGGCAGCATTGGAATAGCGAAAGATGCCTTCCGAAAGCTAAGCAAAATATTAAGAAACAGGAAAATTTCATTAAAAACGACGCAGAATGCTAACCCTAACCCTACCTGACATGCTTGTATAAATGACAGAAGGGGGGTGGCAGTGATATTGAAAAGATAAACCTTACTAAGAGCTGCAAAGGATAGGAAGTTGTGGAGAACCATGATTGATATCTGGGCAATGTTTCAACAGAAGATAGAAAATGTGACACCGAAATCCAGAGACAACATTGGAATAGCCAAAAATGCCTTCCAAAAGGTAAGCAAAATATTAAGAAAATTTCATTAGAAACAAAGAAAAGAAGGCTGACTTGTTATGTAATATCGGTTCTCCTATAGGGCAGTGAATGCTGAGAAATTACTTCACAGATGAAGAAGAGATGCAACAGAAATGTGGTTCTACAGAAGGATGCTGAGAATTCTATGAACGAATAACGAGGAAGTTTTAAGAATAAGTAAAACAAACAACGCATATAGAAAGAGACAGTTTAAAGTTTTCGGACACATGATGAGGGATGAAGGCTAGGAGAATTTGACACTCACGGGGCATATTGAAGGCAGCTGGGAGAGGAGAAAGGAGTGAGTAACTTACATAACGAGTCTGTGTAAACGGATAGCAGAACAGGAACTGAAATAGGAAGTGAAACGGCATAACTTACGAAGAGATACAAAGGAGAGGATATTGTGGAGGGTCATGGTTGCTCACGTCCCGAAGGGACACGGCACATGGTAGAAGAAGTGTCTGCGGTGAGTCCTGATTGCCTACGTCCTGAAGGCACATGGTATAAAAAGGAGGAAATATCATGGCTTAATCCTTAAACGGCGAGGTCACACGAACGTGTATGCTAAAACGGATAAAGAATGAGAAAATTAAATTTTTTGTGTATTTTCGTCTTAATTATATCGCTTAGGTAATCACGTATCTTTCGATACATGACTGACGAGACAGATTTTTTTCCCGCAGTAGGTTGCCATTTCTTTCTGCGCTAGACCAGTTGCCATCCAAGGCTATAGAACCCGGTCTGTCCTATTATCTACCCATAGCCTAGAAGAAGAGGATTCATACCGTTCCCAAGGGTATTAGCCTGTAAGTGAAGGTAATTGATTCGACTTTCCGATTCCTCAATCCGAGTCGCTATCCATTACTCCACCGTGCCTCAGCTTAATTATATACAAAACTATAAATTATTGTCAATTGAAAAAACGTTCATGAAGGTATAATGTTTCAAAAAAAAAGTCCCGAATACCACCAACTTGGGAAAAATATAATAAGATTTTCATTATCTTAAACACACAAATACATACACACGTAACTCATTTTTTCGCTCTCGATCCGATGAATCCAAATAGGCGAAATGCATCGTCGGATGTTTTTTTTCGAAACATTATACTTTCATGAACGTTTTTCCGATCGTTAATAATTTATAATTCTGTCGGAGATCATATATCCAAATTTATAACATACAAGTCTATAAAAATAATATTCAAATTTTTTCAGATTATAAAAATAAAGAAAAGGAAATAAATCAAGTGTTAGGTTCCTAAATGTCGAGGTTTATAAAGGAGAACACCAGATGAAGTTTTAATTATTTTAGCTGCTGTCAGAACAACGTTTTGATATCGAACCATTCAAGCCATTCTTTTTTTTTATGTGCCCCGTCACTTCAGAGTGTTGGTAATGATAGCTCTCTATGGTACTCGGACATTTGGCCGACGGATATTTGGCCGAGGAACATTCCGCTGAACGGACTTTTAACCGAATGGACATTTAGCCGAAAATGTAGTGGCGTACTTACACACTCGTTATCGTAATGTGCAACATATATTTATATTTATTTACTGTATTTATTAAGTATGTATTATATTTTACTTCAAATATTACTGTAAGATAATAAGCATTTTGAGAAAAAGCACATTTTACTACAGCAAAAATCTCAAGCTTTTACGATATAAAAAGATCTTTCAATTTCGCTTTTAATAATCATTATCTTAAAGGAATGAACTAGCTTTTATCTTTTTGTTAAATACGAATGTAAATAATTAGGTGCTACTTCTTATCCTAATACACTCAAATAATTTTAAAATACTCATTTCAATAAACAAATATTGAAAAAAAAAACTTTTAACTTTAAATTTAGATTTAGTAATTTAATCACTTGAAATTCAGTGGTAATTATTAGTCCTATTTTACCTTATAATAATGCTAATTAAAATACATAAATTATTGCTTATTACTATTTTTACTTGTACTTTTTTGGTGAAATGTCCGTCGACCAAATATCTGTTCAGTGAAATGTCCGTCGACCAAATATCTGTTCAGTGAAATGTCCGTCGACCAAATATCTGTTCGGTGAAATGTCCGTCGACCAAATATCTGTTCGGTGAAATGTCCGTCGACCAAATATCTGTTCAGTGAAATGTCCGTCGACCAAATATCTGTTCGGTGAAATGTCCGTCGATCAAATATCTGTTCTGAAATCGACCAAATATCTGTTCGGTCAAAATCTGTTCAGTGAAATGTCCGTCGACCAAATGTCTATTCGGTCAAATGTCTCTCGGTCAAATGTCTCTCGGCCAAATGTCCGTCAGCTAAATGCCACTTGGCTAAATGTTCGGTCATGGCTCTCTACAATTTCCTGTCCTTTTTAGCTCTTAGTAAATTTTATCTTTTTGCTATCTCTCCTAATCGCTGTTCTTCCATCCATTTACTCAAACTCGTTAGGTAGGCAATGCTCCGTTCTCCTCTGTCCCACTTTTCCTTTTGACTTTAATACGTCCTGTGAGTATAACATTTTCCAAGCCTCCTATTCTCATGTGCCCTAGAGACTTCAACTGCTTCAACGTTTCTTTGTAATGTCTGATTAAACAAATGAAGTTTATGCGGCCGAAAGTAAAGCAATAGCGGCCTAACAAATTTCTTCAGTTCCTATGGCTAAGTGGTCAGTTGTCATCAGCGGTGAGGAATGTTTAGCATCAAGACGACCGGAAGTTGGTGTTGATCTGAATGTGTCCCCTTTTGCGAGGTGCTAGGAAAAAATGGCGCGTACTTAAAGTGAAGAATACTGTAGCGCTCTTGAAGTTTCCTCACGAATTGCTCAAGAAGTTATTTCCGCCTACTTCGGTAAGAGATTTTATTTATTTATTTTTTTTAATTCAAGCTTGCAGTTTCATTCATTATATTGATTTCCACATCTGTTTCCTCAACTTATAAAAGG